CGCGCCATGCCCATATAAGGGCAAATTGCGCAGGAGGGGCCCGAACCCCCCCGGTCCCGGTTCCTGTCCCGTTCCTCGGCCCGGTCCCGCACCCCCGATCCGGCAGCCCCGGGCCCCGCATCCCCCATCCCCCGGTACGAACGGCCCCGCCCGGGCCGGACCTTGCCCCGGGAAAGGCCCCGCCCGAGGCCGCGCAGGAAGCGCCGGGAGCGGCGGGAGCGGGAGCGGCGGGAGCGGGCGGGGGGGTCCCTTCGCCGCCCCCGAGCTTGAGGGGGCTCCGCTCCCGGTGCCCGGTGCCCGGTGCCCGGTGCCGGTGACTCACCCGCGGTCTGCTCCTCCGAGAAGTCGCACTGCGGGGAGAGCGCGGCGGTCAGCGGGCACCGGCGGCGGCACCGGCATCTCCCGCGGATGGAGCGGCCGCCCGCGCTCGGTGCCCGCCCGGTGCTCCCGGTTCCCCCCGCGCCATCCCCGCCTCTCCCCGGTGCGACCCCCGCCCCGGTTCCCCCGCGCCGCCCCGCCCGCGCATCCCCCGCCCCGCCCGCGGGTCCCGCTGCCGGTGCCCGTCCCGGTGCCCGTCCCGGTGCCCGTTCCCGGTGCTCGCTCCCGGTGCTCGCTCCCGGTGCTCGCTCCCGGTGCCCGGTGCCCACCATGGCGGCGGCCGCTCCCGTCCGTTCCTGCGCGCTCGGGCGTCACCGCGCGGCTGCGTCACCGCGGTAATGAGCGTGTTAATTATTCATGAGGGGGCGGGGCCGGGCGGGGCCACGCCCCTTTCCCGCGGGGGATGTTTTGGCTATAGATGGGCACGGAGCGGTCACCCCACCCCCCACGGGGACACCCCAGACCGGGGGGGACACCCCAACCCCACGGGGGGCATCACTGGGGGACACCCCAGGGGACATCACGGGGTCACCCCCTGTCCGGAACCCACGGGGGACACCCCAAGGGTCACCCCAAAGGGACACCCCAAAGGGACACCCCAAGGGTCACCCCAAAGGGACACCCACCCTCCCACGGGGACATCCCCAAAGGGACACCCCGGAGTGGTCACTCACTGTCCTGAACCCATGGAGGACACCCCCAAAGGGTCACCCCAAAGGGACCCTCCACAGGGACACCCCAAAGGGACACCCACCCCCACGGGGGACACCCCGGAGTGGTCACTCACTGTCCGGAACCCACGAGGACACCCCCAAAGGGACCCCCCAAAGGGACCCCCCAAAGGGACCCCCCAGCCCCCGAGGCCACACGAAGCCACCGCCGTGTCCTCCCTCCTTTATTAGCGCGGGGAGGGGACGGGGACGCAGCCCCGGGAAGGCAGCGAGGGGGTGGCGCGGCGGTGGCGGCGCGGTGACATCCCGGTGACATCCCGGTGACATCCCGGTGACATCCCGGCGGTGACATCCCGGTGATATCCCGGTATCCCGGTGACATCCCGGAGACATCCCGGTGACATCCCGGTGACATCCCGGAGATATCCCGGTGGCATCCCGGTGACATCCCGGTGACATCCCGGTGGTGACATCCCGGCGACATCCCGGTGACATCCCGGTGACATCGTGGTGACATCCCGGTGACATCCCGGTGGCATCCCGGTGGTGACATCCCGGCGGTGGCAGCAGCAGCTCGGACAAGCGTCCCCCGGGGGGTGCGGGGGGGACCGGGGGA